GAAGAGCGGCAAAGTTCTTAACCTGACCCTTGTGAAAAAATTTTGGAAGTTCACTATAAGTTTGTATCTCAGGTTTGGGTTTGATCCTGTCTTTAACATGAACTAAATGTGTGTTAGAGCTGGTTTAAATTCATGTAACTGATCATATTGTTTATAGCTGTATAAAAAGATCTCTCTGAAAATTCCAGATGTAATAAGAAATGTAAGACCTAAAATTAATTCACTTGCTTTCTACAAAATGTGGTTTCTATCCATCTAGTCGGAGGACATTATAATTGAATGTACATTTACCAAATTGTAAAGATTGAAGCCATGATAAAGTAAAACGCTGCTGTTAATTTTAAGATGCATTGGTTTGTGAAATGACAGGCATAGTTCATCACTTTTGTAAGTGACTTTGCAGTTCTTGAAGACTTCCTTAATGTTCCATGATGAATATGTTTCACTAGCAGAACTAAGCTTCAATACTGAAACTTTCCATACTTAGGTAATTGTCTTCTCTGGAAAACATCAGCTTAATAAAGGAGATGTAATTCTGCAATCGGAAGGCCGGTTCCATCTTGCTAGTGATAGAAAAGATGATGGATTGATCACAGTAGTCTTAAAGAACAATAGCGCAGATGACCTCAAGAAATATTCTGTGGAATTTGAAGTGAGTTTTAATGTTAGGGATTGATACCAGAGCAGTCTTTTAAACTGAATACTCCTGAGCACACCTACTGTGTTGTTTTTCTCTTTTGAAGACACACTGACATCTAGCTTTCATACTGTTCAAGTGCAGTCAGTGCAGCCTAAATAAAAAAAGGATGTCTATTCCTGATTTTGTTGCTTTCCCCTTTATTGTTACATTGGGTGCTATGGATGCATGAGGGGACAAGTGGCCAAGGGGTCAGGCACAGGCATGAGAGAGAGATAAAAGTGGCGGGGAGGGGGGAGAGCAAAGGTAGGTGCAGGGAAGGGGGAGCAAGAGGTGGGGAGAAAGCTTCAAGGGAGACCCGGGAGTGGTGGAGAATTGGCGAGGGCAGGGGGAAGACAACAGGGCAGGCACAGGCATGGTGGCACATGGCAAGGGACAGGCAGCAGTGGGAGAGGCACAGGGGAGGAGGGGACACGGAGAACAAGGGGCAGAGGAGCAAGGAGCAGGGGTCTGGCCCCTCACCGCCTGCTGATGCCTTCCCCACCATAACAGCAGGGGAACAAATTTAAGATAACCCTCCACTAATTAGATTCCATACCTGGAAATTATAACACATTTATAATTTTCCATGTATAGAATCTAATTACTGGGGGGTCACCTTGAATTCAAAGTTGCCTTGCATTTAAGCAAATATGGTACTCCACCATGTGCCCTGGGACCAAAGATCACCAGGCAGTATACAAGCAAGGAATTGATTACCGGGGTGTTCCTTTCTCTGTGACCCCTAAAAGATTATCTGCATGCCTAGCAAAGTATGCAGCAATGTAACTGATTGACTTCTTTGCATTCTCCAGTTGTTCAGATATTGAGCCAATAATCCTTCTGCTCCTCAGTACAGTAAAGTGCCAGTGTAATGCACAATCACTGGGAAACCTCTCCATTATCATATTCTTCTATGGAGACTGTACTGACAGTCAACATCATGACACAATATTGCTTTGTTTATTTTTTACCATAGCTCTCCATAAGTGTCTTTTTCTCTTATGGCCACAGCTAAAAGCATTTGAGGATATTTGGCTAGGCCTGACAGGAACTGCTACTTCCTCAGCTCTTCAAAGCCAAATCCTGGTGGAGGGAAATATTGATCATAAAGAGAAAGTAAAGGTAGCTGCTTCTAAAGAGAAGGAGTGTCTTCAGTATTACGTGGGGTACTTAAAGGGTAAGTACATTAGGGCTACAATTAATAATGATAAATTTGTTTTGACAGTTAGCTTTGCACACACGGGAGAGGTGAGGCTACTGTAGAGAGTTTAGTTTAGTTTAGTTTTCATGGCCTTTCAGTTGTAACTATGGGCTGCCAAATTGCGGGAAGGGAACATTCATTATATGGTTCCTAGGTTTAACCCAGCAACTCATTACAACTTGTGAATAACTACCAATCAAGTCTGGGTTTGAATAGATGGTGACTGAGTTGAAAAGCTCTGACCTGAGCTTCTGTTCCTTCCCCTGGCTACATAGCATTTGGTGATCAATCAGAAAGCTGGAAGGAAGTAAGCAGTTAATAGCAATGGTCTGACTCAGTACTATCCACATAGCTTCTCCATTCCTGC